AAAAGCCACAGTAAACCCGGGAAAAAGCCACAGTAAACCCGGGAAAATTAATTTTACCAGGCGTCCACAAATGATCCTCCTTCCCCACTCAGTGGGGATTCCAGCAGCAATTCAAACAACCAGTGCAGTTTCCTGGGATCTCTGCTCTCCTGAAAAGGAACAGGGAACAGAGATATAAGGAAATGGGAGATTTTTAAAATGTGGATGATGGATAAAAAGATGTATAAACAAGGAAAGTTTTGATAGAGATTTCTTTACATTCCCTGGGTTTAGTCTATGAAGCAAGTGCAACAATAAATATTTTTTCACAATGAATCTCAATAGGAGGAAAACCCAATAAAACCATACCCAGCTTTAATTAATTGGTAAATAGAACAGATAGAATTTTAGCTTTGTTTTTGATAGATATGAATAAGCACATCTGAATTTTGCTGATGAGGGCTCTGGCTGACAAACTGCACTGAGCTCTGCTGAGTGATTGGACAGAATTACTGACCCAAGATATTTGGGACCTATCCTTGACCCTGCTTCCCAGGAATCTGATTCCATAAAGAATCCAGGTTTAGTGGACAGCAACTGGGGCACTTACACAGGAGGTTGCAATGCAGGTGCCCCAGTCGTTGTAGGTCTCCACTGTGATGTTGGATAAAGCTGTTCGGAGCAAGGGACACAGGAGCTTCCAAAGCTTTTCCACCTGCACAAAGGCAAAAGACAAGATTTGTTTCTATATAAGAAATCCAGTTCAGATATTAAAATGCCTTCTTTATTGTCTCATCAAGGAACTGATCCTCTCAGTATTATTTTTGGCACAGACATTCAGCAAAGGTCTAAGACTAAGTAAAGTCCAAGGGGACATGAGCTTGTGAGAAACAAAGTCTCAAATTATAATTGAATAGGAGTTTATTACATGGAAAAAGCAAACAGCTGGCTGGGTGAGGACTGATTCCCCAAATCTGCACACCTACTACAGTGTACATTTGGCATTTATTTTAGCTACTTCATGCATATTAATTATATCATATACATTTTACAGCTAAATATTCAATATATGGGTTTTCTTACAGCTAAAGCTAAATGGTTACCTCTACAACCAGTCATAATTCAACCATTCTTGGACAAACAGGTGCCTAAAAAGATTTAAAGTTCTACCATATTTTATTCTTAGGATAGCAGGGAGGTTTAGGACTTGCTGACCTTGCAAGGGTCCGTTTTATTTCTTTATGGGGGTGTAATTAAGTTTTACAACCCGCTAGTTTTATTTTGATGTAGTCATCCGTTTGTTTCACGAATCACAGCTATTCATCACAAGCTCTTACTCCTATTGGAAATTACAAACCATGGCAGGTGAGGAGATGGCAGAGCTGCCAACTGCTCTTAGTTTTAACACTGAAACATTTTATTGACACCAGGTAACAGCAGGCACTAAGCCAAGCTGTGAGTTGTGCTCCAAGTTTGGCAAGGAAGCACCAAGTGCTGCAGCATTTTCCAGTCCTTTCTCAGACCAGGGTGATACATCAAAAGCCCCCAGCTTTAATAATTCAAAATTACTCCTTCACTTCCAAGAATCACTCAAAAACCACCAGTTCAGCACCTTGTCAAAGGTCCAGTGCTTGGAACCCCTTATGAGCCCAGCTATGATCTCAGCCACACATCTCTGGGGGCTCTCGTGGGAGTCTGCGACCAGCTGCTCCAGGTGGGGCTGCAGGACTGGCAAAAAGGCATCATCAAAGTTCCTGAAAAGGCCCTGGAAAACAAGAGGGGGGAAAAAAGTGTTCTCAGGAATCATCCAAACCACTGCCTTCCCACCAGCAACCCAAGCTGGTGAATTAATTACTGAGGTTTGGACGTGCAGAAAGTGAAATGACTTTGCTGCTTTAACAGAATTATACCCCCAGTGTCCTGCAGGCTATTATATCACTGCAAATATGTTTCCCTAAGCAGTTAATCAGAAGAGAGGATTAATAGGATTACTCAGAGCAGCTTTAAAAATCAACATTTTGCAGCAGTGGGGTATAAGCCGGGCAGTCTGGGGCTTTTCCACGCTCTGCTGAACGGAAGCAATTTGGTTGTTTAACTCTGGTTTTACCTTGAAGAGGCAAAATCTGCGAGGATTAAATTTGTCCTTTCCTTTTCTGTCTTCTAAAGACAAAAATTTTATTAACTGCTCGACGAACTTGGGATCAGAAAAGTGATCATATATAATTTGTTCTGCCTGTAACGGGAAGAAATAAAAAAAAAAAAGAAAAAAAAAAGGATTAGCTTTGAGGTGTTTGCTTGTCACAGTGATATCCCAATCTTTCCAAGTCCCACGTTTCATTTTCAGTCTATTTTTGGCAAAAATCACGCCTTGGTCATCCATTTCCCTCCCTCATTTTGTAGGGAATACTAGGTAATGTTTTCCAAGACTCCTCCTGATTATCTTTATTAATGACTTTGGATTGTCTTTCCTTTCACTCACAACCCCTGCAAATTAGTCCTTCCCACTGTCATTAATTACCTTGTCCTAAACCCCAATAATGATGTGAAAGGGAACAAGAAAGTGCTCATTAATACAGTTATTCCATGACCCCTGACAGAAAAGCTGCAATACATCAAAATAATAATTTCTCTTGCATGCTGACGCAGCATGAAGTAGAAAAATACAATTAAAAGTGTCTTGTGGGGATGTAGGTTTAGAGAGATCTCCACAGTGACCTGTGGGCAATGTTAAAAGAAGAAAAGAGGAGAAACAGTACTAAAAAACCCCACAAACCTGCAGCTCTTACCTCTGTCAGCTCATCCCTCCTTCGCCCAAGCTTTGGCTGATGCTCAGCTGGGGCATAAACTGTCATGGTTCTGAAGGGGAAAAATGAAAAACAAAAATAGAGCAGCACATTCCAAAGTAAAATAAAGTTTATGGTTTGTTTCTGTATTCTCAATGTTTCTGTATTCTCAATGTTTCTGTATTCTCAATG